CTTGGCTCCCTGCAGGTCCTGCACATGTCCGAGCTCCTGCACCGTGGCCTGGGTGTGCACCACAGTGGCATCCTGCCCATTCTTAAGGAAATCGTGGAGATGCTTTTCAGTAGAGGCCTGGTCAAGGTACACACACTGGTAGAAGAGGGACTCTTCAGAGCACTTCTTGCTCCCTTACAGGCTGTGCGGAGGGTGGAGGGGCAGGGCTCAGACAGGACAGTGCAGTGGTTAAGAGCTTGGGGTCTAGACCAGATTGCCTGTGTATGCATCCTGGCTCCACTACTTCTGTGTGACCTCAGGCAGATTACTTAACCGTCCTGAACTTTAGCTTTCCTATCTTAAATGGAGATGCACAGAATGGGCACAGGCGGTATTCAGAAGGGAAACCCAGAAAATTAGCAAGCATAGGAAAAGTTACTTTACTTTCCTAAAGGTGTGTATATCTTTTTGAATTGGGGTGTAACTGCCTTTAACTTGAATTGTGAATTACATGCACCAAAAATAAGATATACTCTGCAAAAATATGTTCACGCAAAGAGATACTCTAAATGCATTGGGATGATTGACAGTGGGGATATGGGAATTGGATATGGGTTACAAGAAAAGAAGTGGGTAGCCAAATAGATAAAGTGAAAATGATAGTACTTGCTCTATAGTTTTGCTCTGAGAGTTATTAAATGAGATCCTGCGAGTTAACTGTCTGGGACCATGCCTGGTACCTACTCAGCCTTGGCTACAGAGTAAGGTACACTTGGCCAGGGATGGGTGTCCGTGTAGCCCCTTTACCGATCTTCCTCCATCCCAGGTCTTGTTTGCCACGGAGACCTTTGCCATGGGTGTTAATATGCCAGCCCGAACAGTGGTGTTTGACTCTATGCGGAAGCACGATGGCTCCACCTTCCGGGATCTGCTCCCTGGAGAGTATGTGCAGATGGCCGGCCGGGCAGGCCGGCGGGGCCTGGACCCCACTGGCACTGTCATCCTGCTCTGCAAGGGCCGTGTGCCTGAGATGGCAGACCTGCACCGCATGATGATGGTGAGCCAGGACGGTATGAGGCTGAGCTGGGAGCGCCCCAGCTCTGGGGACCTGCTGGATTCTCTCTTCTGACCCTCTTCCCCTCTCTTTTATTTCTACGGTTGACCTTTGAACGATGTAGGGTTTAGGGAGTGCTGACCTCCTGCATAGTCAGACATCCGCATACAACTTTTGAGTCCTGAAGAACTCTACTGCTAATAGCCTATACTGTTGGCTGGAAGGCTTACCAATAACAGATAGACGATGAACACTTATTTGTATATGTATTTGTTGCTGTATTCTTATAATACAGCTAGAGATAAGAAAACATGATGAAGAAAATTATAGGGAAGAGAAAATACTTACAGGATTGGACAGTATTTATTGAAAAAAATACACGTGTAAGTGGACCCCTGTTGTTCAAGGGTCAGTTGTACTTTTTTCTTTTGCCTGAGAGAAACCAAGGTCAGAGCAAGCAAATCCGAGGATTAGATTGAATCCCACCCCTTCTAGTCTTTTTTCATTGTGAAGACAGCTAGGTAGAACCTTTGAGGGCCTATTTATTTAGTTCCCTTATTTTGCAGAGGAGGTAAGTAAACAGTTTGTCTAGGGTCCCATGGTCCATGGGGACTAGATCTGCTGAGAGTAGAGCCGGTCCTCACAGGGCTGGCTTGGGGGGCAGCAGATCCCACCCCAATCTCACTGCTTCTCTGACGTGCCCCAGGGGAAGCCATCGCAGCTGCAGTCCCAGTTCCGCCTCACATACACCATGATCCTGAACCTGCTGCGGGTGGACGCCCTCAGGGTAGAAGACATGATGAAGAGGAGCTTCTCGGAGTTTCCATCCCGCAAGGACAGCAAGGTGAGGAGGCTGGGATGACCAGTAAACCAGGCAGCATGTTGGGACAAGGGAAGCCAGACTAAGAGGTGAACATCTAGAGACGAGGCAGTGAATGTGGGGAGTGTGGCATCCTGGGCCTGGGGACTCTCCTTTCATACCTCCCTACACTTCCTCCCAGGCCCATGAACAGGCTCTAGCTGAACTGACCAAAAGGCTGGGGGCCTTGGAGGAACCTGACACGACTGGCCAACTGGTTGACCTGCCTGAGTATTACAGCTGGGGGGAGGAATTGACAGAGACCCGGAACCTGATTCAGGTGAGTGTTGTGAAGGTGATGGAGGAAGGGAGGAAGAGAATGCGACACTCTGGGTGCTCCTGAACCTAGTCCCAACCTATTCTCAGTGTCCCTGTTATGCTTCCTTTGTTATCCCTTTTGTGCATATCCCCACTCTTTAGCGACGCATCATGGAGTCTGTGAATGGGCTGAAATCTCTCTCAGCTGGAAGGGTGGTGGTTGTGAAGACTCAGGAGTATCATAACACATTGGGTGTGATCCTGCAGGTGAGGGCAATGGAAATTTAGACCCCAGAGGGAGGGAGCCCTATCTCCATCTTCTGTACTTGGCTGGGGGCAGTTGTCACATAGCACTCATTTTTCCCTCCTGCCTTCCTTTCTCTCCCATTGCCACCACTCATGCCTACCTCCTTATCCTCCCTTCCCCCACTGCCTCTCCCCCTTACTCCTCAGACTGTTCTTTTTTTTTTTTTTTTTTTTAAATGTTTTTTATTTATTTCTAGGAGAGAGACAGCGTGAGCAGGGGAGGGTCAGAGAGAGAGGGAGTCACAGACTGAAATAGGCTCCAGGCTCTGAGCTGGCAGTCAGCACAGAGCCCGACGCGGGGCTCGAGCCCACAAACCGCGAGATCATGACCTAAGCGAAAGTCGGTCGCTTAACCGACTAAGCCACCCAGGCGCCCCTCCTCAGACTGTTCTGATTGACTTGGTTACCAGTCCATACTGATGAGCTCTGCAGTTGCTCTGTGGTCCCTGCCTGAGGGTGGGGACCTGGTCTCTTATCTTTGATGTCCACTCCTCACATTGCCCCGGCCTGGCCTCCCCATCTACCCTAGGTCTCCTCAAATTCCAGCAGCAGGATATTTACAACCCTGATTTTGTGTGATAAACCTGTGTCTGAGGACCCACAGGGGAGGGCACCAGCCACCCCAGATGTGCCCTACCCGGATGACCTTGTAGGATTCAAGCTGTTCCTGCCTGAAGGTGAGCATGGGGCAGATGTCCGGGTTCCTGACAGCAATGTAGGCAGGATATTTGGGTCCATCGTAAGGTTTGACTCTGCTCTTCCCTTTTCACAGGGCCATGTGACCACACGGTGGCCAAGCTCCAGCCAGGAGACGTGGCTGCCATCACCACCAAGGTGTTACGGGTGAATGGGGAGAAGATCTTGGAGGACTTCAGCAAGAGGCAGCAACCAAAATTCAAGTCAGAGATGGCTAGGGAGATCCTTTTCCTGGGGAGGGGACCGGAGGGGGTGTAGGGAGGGGTGGTTGAGGTGTCTCTCCGGCCTGAGAGGGCTTCTCTGAGAGAGAACACTCTGCCTTAGGTCTTAAGACCTTGCTCCTTCTTCAGGAAGGATCCTCCTATTGCGGCTGTGACCACTGCTGTCCAGGAACTGCTGCGTCTGGCACAGGCCTACCCAGCGGGACCCTCTACCCTTGACCCTGTCAATGACCTGCAGCTCAAGGATGTGCCAGTGGTTGAGGGAGGGCTCCGGGCCAGGAAGCTGGAGGAGCTGATCTGGGGTGCTCAGTGTGTGCACAGTCCCCGTTTCTCCGCCCAGGTAGGGTCCTGGATGCCAGCTCCCAAGCTCAGAGGGAGGCTTTTCCCTTCTGTTCTCCTGTAGCCTGGCCACCCTCATCTCTGCCCTTGTCCTCAGTGCCCTCCTGCTCTGGGATAAGGGGAAAGCTAACATGCTTCTGCTGGTGGCTCTCTGCAGTACCTGAAGCTGCAGGAGCGAATGCAGATACAGAAGGAGATGGAGCGACTGCGTTTCCTGCTGTCAGATCAGTCACTGCTTCTGCTCCCAGAGTATCACCAGCGAGTAGAGGTGGGAAGGCCAGGGGTGGGGACAGGGGGCTAGTGAGAGAGAAGAGAGCAGGCTCCCAACACCTACCATCTTTCTTTAGGTGCTCCGAACCTTGGGTTATGTAGACGAGGCAGGCACTGTGAAGCTGGCAGGGCGGGTGGCTTGTGCCATGAGCAGCCACGAGCTGCTTCTCACTGAGCTCATGTTTGACAACGCTCTAAGTGCCCTGCGGCCAGAAGAGATTGCAGCCCTGCTCTCTGGCCTGGTCTGCCAGAGCCCTGGGGACCCTGGGGAGCAGCTCCCAAGCACCCTCAAACAGGTATGGGACACCCACCCCACTTTCTCTCCCTTGGGTGTGGCATTCCCAATCCCCACCCCCAAGTATTCCTCAGATGACCCCCTCCAGCCCTGTTAAGTACCCCTAAGAGCTGGAATGGCTTCTTCCTTGATCAGGGGCTCCCTAGTCCTAAAGAAGGAAGGCGGGGTCTGAACCTCTCCTTGGCCATCTGCAGGGAGTGGAACGTGTCCGGGCTGTGGCCAAGCGGATTGGTGAGGTCCAAGTGGCCTGTGGCCTGAACCAGACCGTGGAAGAATTTGTCGGAGAGTTGAATTTTGGGCTGGTGGAGGTCGTGTACGAGTGGGCCCGGGGCATGGTAAGTAACTGGGGCTTTGTGGACAGCTGGCTGGGGGGAGGCTGCCCAGGTCTACCATACTCAGTCCTCACCCTGCTTCCCCCACAGCCCTTCTCTGAGTTGGCAGGGCTGTCGGGGACTCCTGAGGGCCTGGTGGTCCGTTGCATCCAGCGCTTGGCCGAGATGTGTCGCTCGCTGAGGGGGGCAGCCCGCTTGGTAGGAGAACCTGTGCTAGGTGCCAAGATGGAGACGGCAGCCACTCTGCTGCGGAGGGACATCGTCTTTGCGGCCAGCCTATACACTCAGTGAGTGGCCAGTGTAAAAATGTAGTAATAAAGCAGCGAACCACCTGTGTGTACTTCAAGTGTTGAACAGGGATGACTTGGTGCAAGAGAACACAGCAGGAAGAGCCACTTAAGAAACAGGCTTTTATCTGTGCACATGGAGATAGGACCAGCCCCTCTGAAGTCTCAGACCTTGGGGGAAGGTGTCTTGGGGGGTGATGGGAGGTCCTGGGACACGGCCTCCACATACCACGTGGGCAGGAATGCATAGGGTGCATCTCGATGTTTAGACACTGTGATTGGGCTGCCAGGCTCCCAGGAGAAGAGATGGACGAGCCTAGGGGGGACGTGGAGTCACAACTTGAGGACTGGAGGCAAATTTCTAGGACCCAGAGAGCAGGGACAGATGAATGGCTCACCTGGGATCATCTTGGACAACTGTGTTCTGGGCAAAGCTAAGGAAGGCAGCACAGAAGTTCATGCACACGGAGGGATTCCAGCCATCACGGTCATTCTGGAGAGGGCCAAAGAGGAGGCAGAAAACAGGCAGTGAAGGTGAGGGCAGAGAAGGGGCAAGGTGGACTGTGACCCGGGATACTGGACCTGTGGTCTGGTGTGGGGGTACAGGTGGGAGCTGCAAGACCACTGCCTTACCCTGACATATTCGAACATCTCCATGGTAGGGAAGGTCTTGAGGGAACGGATGAAACCCTCTGGGTTACGGAAGCCAGCAACGACGTTTGGGACCCCCAGAAGGAATGACTGAGCCCACCATTTCAGGAGCTTATGTCTGTCAGGAAAGGCAAGGGGTCAGTAGGACCCTTCCTCCACCCTCCGGCCTCTTGCCCTGGTCCCATTTCCAGCCGTCTGTTCTAGGCTCTCACCCCGCCCACCCCCATCCTGAACCTGTAGAAGCTCCTCCATTGGCCCGGGCTGTGCATCTCTTTGGAGGTCTTGAGCTCCACATAGCAAGTGGGGGGCTGTGTGGATGGGGCCTGGGGGTCTGTGCAGTCTACCTCCCCTGAGAAGAGCAGAGGGTGGTTTCCCAGGCGGCTGCGTAGCACAGAGCAGAAGGCCACGTTGGTGTTAACCTCACCAGAAGGGTCCGGGGAGCTTCCAGGTTTGTCTGCACAAGAAGAGAAGCGGCAACAGGGTGGGGGCTTTCAGTCTCTGGGGAAGGGGGAGGGGACTACAGAGCAGGGGCAACTCTCACCTGCACACATGTACTGCTCAAACTTGTACCCCATGTACATAAGCTCGCGGAGAAGGGGTGGCCGGGCAAGCCGCTGGGCCCGAGCTGCCGGCGTCTCTACCTCACTCAGGTACAGTGTCCCCTGGAAGCGGGAGGCCGCCAGCTGCCAGCCCTCCTGCCGCTCATACGGTGTGGTTAGCAATTTTGTCAGGTGCCCTCGCCATGTCACTATGGCCCCTGCCAGCCAGCCTGGACCCCTGAGAGGGAGGAGTTAGAAGCTGAAGGTCTGATACAAGCATTAGCTCAGATGACTCCCCCAAAGAATATCCTAGGTTCCTTCTAAAGACTGAACTCATTCCAGTTTTGGCTCTCCTAATTTTAGAGGGTAGGTGCAGGTCTCTAGATCTACCCATGTGCTATGCTTTGCTCACCCCTCCAGCTGGCCTCGGTGATCCAGAAGCCAGCGTAGCAGGTGATCCAGCCCCTCTCGGATCTCCTCGTCCCTGGGCTGGTATCGATCAGGGTATCCATCTCTGAGGTCAAAGTTGGGGCCTTGACCATTGGTAGGGGGTGGGCTGTAGTAGCGCAAGGCTTGAGCATCTCCATGGTACTGGCGTTGTGCATCCAGGGAGAAGCAGCCCAGTTCGGATGGGCGGCGGTAGAAAGGGAAGGGCCCAGAGTAGAGGGCAGGGTCTGTGGGCATTGAGGGTGCTGGGCTGGGGAGTTTGTTCCGAGGCTCAGCTACCTCTACGTTTTCCACTTTTCTCTTGGTCCCTCTGCGATCCATGAGGTCCTGAGAACTGGGGTTAGGGAAGTTACCCTTTTACAGAGGAGGCCCAGAAAAGGGGGACTCTGGATCAGGACTAAGCTAGCCTCCGGAAGGCCAGGCTCTGGCCCTGAAACAGAACCAAGGCTAGGTGCACATCCCACCTTTTCCCTTGACCTACACCCCCACCTCCAGATGTTCCAAAGTCAGTGAGCTGAGGAAGGCTGTCTGGGCTCAGACCAAGGATCTGGTTGCCTCAGAGCCCACCAACCTCGACCTCTACCTCTGCGGAGCTAAGACGTCACGGCAGTTGTGTCCAGAAGTCGGGGAGGTATGCAAAGGTGGTTTCCGCACTCCAAGACGCAATCACTCAGCGACAGTGGCGGGCCGACTTCTCGGGGGCGTGCAGGGCGTGCGCTTTTCCCGGGGAGGTGGACCCCTACCCGTCCGCCCGCAGCCCGCCGCGCCGCCCACGGGTTCCCGGCCCGGAGTGCCGGCGGAGGAAACCAATCCCAGCAGCCGTGCGGCAGCCCTCCTCCCGGCTGACCGAGAAGGCCAGTTGACGGCTTCCTCGTCCCACGTCGTCCTTCCACCCGGCCGTCCGGTCTCCGGGGAGCCTAACGTCACTGCTCTGCGCCGGAAGATGCAGTCTTCGCGTCCTCGTCCCACAACACCGACCTCTTCCCCGGCAGCCGGAGACCCCAGGATATGAGCCGAAAGAGGCATCGCCTGGTCCCGGACACCTTTGGGCTGAAGAGGCGGCGGGAACCGAGGCAGGCAGAGGCGGACCCTCTCAGGGGCGAGTCAGGTGGGCGTGGCAGCCCCGGGCCTAGGCCGAAGGCCCCTGCCGGGAGCGGCCTCGCCCGCCGGGTCGCGCAGGACGCGAGCGCGGCGCCCCCCGCCCCCCTTCTCGTCTCGGTGACCGGATCTCCCCACCTAGGGTCCGCGCGCGCGGCCGTCGCCGAGCTGGTGCAGCTGTTCCCGCGAGGCCTGTTCGAGGACGCGCTGCCGCCCATCGCGCTGAGGAGCCAGGTGTACAGTCTCGTGCCCGACCGGACGGCGGCCGACCGGCAGCTGGTGAGGGGCGTCGGAGCGACGGACGGAAGCCGCTTCCCTGCCTCGACCCCATCACTCAGACACCCGGGCGGCCGGCCAGCCGCTCTGCCATTCAGCAGGCGTCAGGTCTCTCCAGGCCGGGCACGGCGGGGCCTAGGAAAATGCCGCAGACCCTGTTAAGAGACCCAACGGCAGTAGAGAGCATGCCACATCATGGAAGTGGAAGAACGAATCTTTTGGGGAAACTGAGTCATCGGGTGTAGTTGGAGCTTTACAGCGCTGGGAATGCAGGCAGACGTCAGATTGCGGCAGACCTTGTGCATCAGTGTTGTTTCTGCCTTACACCGAAGGCGATGAGCTAGCAGAGAGTGTTAATTGGCAGAGGGAACGGGGTGTTGTGTGGATTGGAGGAGTGAGATGAGACAGGGAGATGGGCTGGGAAGACAATGCGGCAGAAAAGTGGTGAAGGCCTAAATTAGGGGAGTATAGTAGGGAGGGGGAGGATGGGTGGAGATGGGGGATATGGACAGTGGGAAGAGGGAGGAGTTCAGGATAACTCAGGTTTTCTCAGTGACACACTGGTGGAGTGGACAGAGTAGAGGGCGCTGAGTTGTTGGCAGATGACATGCTTGATTTTGTAGGAGTTGGAGGTGCTTGGGGAACATCCAAAGGCAAGTGTGTAGTACAGTTGGATATGAGGAACTGGAGAGAATTCTGAACCAGTGCTATAGAATTGAAGTCATTGAGATGTGAGCAGTGGTTCAGTCTGGATGTAGGTGAGATTGGGTAGATGTGAGCAGTGGTTCAGTCTGGATGTAGGTGAGATTGGGTAGGGAGAGTGAGTAGAGGGGTAATTTTTAACGTATTAAAAAACTTTAAAAGGTAATGAAAGCTATGGCTCTTTCTCTCCAGAAAAACACATATATGCCATATACATATAAGGTGTATGTGGAGTTTTTGTCCGGGCAGGGGGGTTGTTTCACAGATTCTCTGAGGTCCAAGGTTAAGGACCTCAAGTTTATTTATTTTTTAATGTTTGTTTATTTTTGAGAGAGAGAGAGACAGAGTGTGAGTGGGGGAGAGGCAGAGAGAGAGAAGCTGAAGTAGGCTCCAGGCTCTGAGCTGTCAGCACAGAGCCCAGCATGGGGCTCAAACTCACGAACTGTGAGATCATGGCCTGAGCCAAAGTCAGATACTTAACTGACTGAGCCACCCAGGTGCCCCAAGGACCTCAAGTTTAGAGTGAAAGGGCCAAATCTACAAAGCTGGGAGATACCCACATTTAAGGCAGTGTTTCTCAAAGTATGTCCTGAGTTCTACCTGTATCAGAATTACCTGTTATTAAAACAAAAAATGACCTGGGCTGCTTATTCAAAAATATAGGTTCTTGGGACTCACCTAAGATCTCTTGAGGTAGGACCTGGGAATCTACATTTTGAATTACTGTCCCAAGTGATTCTTAATGTGTCTTAAAAGTTGGGATCCATTGATGTTAGGTGAAAGCGGAGAAAGAGGAGTCTGTGGAAGAGGCTGAGAAGGAATTGCCAGAGGTAGGAGGAAGCCATAAAGCCTACTGAGAAAGCAAATGGATTTTCAAGGAGGTGGAGTAGTTGGCAGTGTTAGAACCTGTGATTTAAGGCAGTGGTTGGTAAAGAGATCCAAGTAAAATAATATCCAAAGTCTGTCCATTGGATTCAGGAGGAAAAGAGGAAAGAAAAGGAAGATGGAGACCAGCTCTAGTCTCATGAGGAAGCAAGTTAGATGGAACCACTCCTTATAGAGTATTTGTTGTATTTAATTTACTGATGTTAGCCTAAGTTTTGAAAAAGCTGTAATAATTGCACAAAGGAAAAAATAAACACACACACACACTTTACAGAATGTTTATAAGCAGATACCCATTTAACTACCACCCAGGGCAGACTATGGAACAAGCCAATACCCACAAAAATCACTCTCCAATATGACTTTTGTCCCTTGGAGGTAACTATTCTCCTGACTGGTGTGATAATTGTTGAGTTTTTTTTTATACCACCTATATGTTTATGTGTAAACAGCATAGCTCAATTGTATTCATTTTAGATCTTGATACAAACAAAATCCTACCATATGTATGTATTTATATCTTGTTTTATTAGATGAATACTTTTGAGGTTCTGCTCAGTTTCACATAGATAAAGTTCATTTCATAGATTTCTATTTTATGAATATGTCCATTTTTTCTGTTCTAGTGAAAAAAGTTTTGTTTCTAGGAATTTGTTATTTTATCATCTGAATTTTCAAATATATTGGTGTAAAGTTAATAGTTTGATTTTATCGTCTCTTGGATGTGTAGTGATGACCCTTTTCTCATTCTTTTTATTGACTGTGCTTTTTCTAGTTTTTTTTCCCCATTTTCTTGATCAGTCTCACCTGTGGCTTACCAATAGTCTTTCAATGAATTAATGTTTAGCTTTGTTGCTCTCTTGTATGTATGTTTTCTATTTTATGAATGTTTCCCTTCTACTGTTGGGCAGATTTTATTTCTTTTTCCCCATTAGTTTCATTCTCTCTTTCTTTCTAGTATACACTTGTCAGGTTGTAGTTTATCTTAAGTACATGCAGATGTATATAGTTTGGGCACATATTTTAGTTATTATTCAGTTTAAAATATGTTTTAACTTTTTGTGTGATTTTCTTCTTTGACCAAGGTTTGAGTCAAGAAATGTATGTCTTAATTTGAAGCATTTTCATATTACCTGACACAAATTATATTGTGGCCAGAGAACATACACAATGTGATTTCAGTCATTTAAATTTTATTGAGACTTGCCTTGTGCTATGTAGTCAGTTTTGCTAAATATTCTATATATATTTGAAGAGAATATGTGTTTTTCAGTTATTAATTTCTTAGTAACTAAAGTTATTAATGAAAATTATTTTTTTCTTAAATAGTTTATTGTCAAGTTGGTTTCCATATAACACCCAGTGCTCATCCCAACAAGTGCCCTCCTCCATGCCCATCACCTCCCTCCCCCTCTCCCCCCACCATCATCCCTCAGTTTGCTCTCAGCATTCAAGAGTCTCTCATGGTTTGCCTCCCTCCATCTCCCCAACTATTTTTCCCCTTCTCCTCCTGCTTCGTCCTCTGTTAACTTCCTCCTAATCCACCTATATGTGCAAACATATGGTATCTGTCCTTCTCTGCCTGACTTATTTCGCTCAGCATAACACCCTCTAGTTCCATCCATGTTGCTTCAAATGGCCCGATTTCCTTCTTTCTCATTGCCATGTAGTATTCCATTGTATAAATATACCACATCTTCTTGATCCATTCGTCAGTTGATGGACACTTAGATTCTTAATGAAAGTTATTTCTGTAGTGATTATTTTGTCTGTTCTATGAGTTTATGAAAGGTAGATTATATCCTTTTGCGATTATGGATTTGCTATTATCTCTTCAGATGTTTTCCCTACCTTCCCACCTTCCCTCACCCCACATCTAGACTGTTAATTCCTTAAAGACAGGGCCTATGTCTCAATCAGTATTTTATTTTAGTGTCTGGTATATGATTGGTCCTAGAAAATATATATTAATTGTTTGATAGACAACTGATGAGGTGGGTGGATGGGAAGGTGGGTAACTAATTTGAAGAGACTGTTTAACAATCTACCTGATTCTCTCCCCACAGTTTTTCCTTTGTTTAGAGAAAAACTCCCCAATAATTGGCAGTAAAATCTCCCTGCCCCAAAGTACCCAGAGTATAGCAGAGTATCTTACCCTGATACCCTTCTTTTTACTCCCATCTCTCTGGAGACAGAAGGAGCTTCAAGAGCAGGGGGAGATCAGAATCATCCAGCTAGGCTTTGACTTGGATGCTCATGGAATTATCTTCACTGAAGACTACAAGACCAGAGTGCGTGTAACTGTGACTGTGCATGCGTGTGTGTGTATGTGTGTGTGTGTGTGTGTGTGTGTGTGTGTGATGGGTGTGGGGGGCAGACAGGGAAATTGGAGAATGGAATAAAAAGAAAAAGAGACAATTCTCCTGCCCCACATCTCACAGAGAGGGCACAGGGCTCTGGTAAATAGTAATATGAAAGAGAGGAAAAGGAGGAAAAGTTTGAGAGGTAGAAAGACATGAGTGAAAGAGAAAACAGGAAGAGAAATGTCCTGGAGGTGGAGGTCCATGGCGAAGGCTGGGCCACACCACATCTCTCATCTCTGGTTCCAGGTCCTCAAGGCCTGTGATGGCCGACCATATGCAGGGGCAGTGCAGAAGTTTCTGGCTTCGGTGCTTCCAGCCTGTGGGGATCTTAGCTTCCAGCAGGATCAAATGACACAGACCTTCGGCTTCAGGGACACAGAGATCACGTGAGACTTGGGGCACCAACAGAATCAGGCATCTGACGTTTCCCTGCCTCCCTCCCACCCCATCCTTTTCCTTCTGGTACACCTATCAGAAAAAGTACTCTTATTTTTAATATAATGACCTAAATTTGTACTCCCCCAAGAAAGGAGGCCTTTCTTACCTGGGACCTTGGACTAAAAATTCAGGAATTCTGGGTGGCTAATCCAATGAATTTAGAGGCCTGGCAGGCACCGTAAATGCCTGTTATGGATTTTGCGGAGACTAAGAGAATGGAGAAATGGTAGGAGCTTGGATGCCCCTAAAGCTTTCACATTAAAAATTAATGATCAGGCAAGGATGAAGTAAAAATACCATACCAGGGGACCTTATTTGCCTCAGGCTCCCTACTTTGCAACCCACGGTATATGTGAAAGCATTTTTTAAACCTTTTAGTAAGATGTGGGGGAGTTGTGTTGAGGCACGTGTAAGCAGTGGCAGGAGCATGGAAGAAAGGCCCTCGTTTCTCCCCTGGGGTTGGACTGAGAGTGTGTCAGGGCGTGTGATCAAGGAGGGCTTCTGAGAGAGAAGCTGCTTTAGTGAACAAGTAATACTAACAGGAAAAGAAAGTTGGGGGACGATCCAGGTAAGAGGAGTAGACGCAAGGGCACAGGGCACTGAACATCAGGGTGTGGGCAGAAAAACCCTCCAGAGTGGGTTTCTGTTATCTAGTCCCCTCAGAAGTTGCCCACGTTTTTGTGGAGACTTAATGTCCAAACATCCGTGGGCAGGGAGATGGTTCTTAGAGCTGAGGCCTCCTCCTGGCTTCCCACCCTTCATAGGCAGCTGGTGAATGCTGGAGTCCTCACTGTCCGAGATGCTGGGAGTTGGTGGCTAGCCGTGCCTGGAGCTGGAAGATTCATCAAATATTTTGTTAAAGGTATTCCATCCACAGCTCAAGCCCTTGGTCCATCAAGAACAGCTTTTGGTGGTTCCTCAAGGCCCAAGCCTTATTCACTTTTCCCCTCTCCTATGCCACTTCTCCAGGGCGCCAGGCTGTCCTTGGCATGGTCCGGAAGGCCAAGTACAGGGAGCTACTCCTTTCAGAGCTCTTGGGCCGGCGGGCACCTGCAGCGGTGCGACTCGGCCTCACCTACCACGTGCATGACCTCGTTGGGGCCCAGCTGGTGGACTGGTGAGTCAGTCCCCAGCCTCTGGTAGATGACAGAGCAATGACCCAAGGTTGGATTCCCTTCTGGGAACAGCCAAGGGTAAGTTCTGAGTTTTCCCCAGACTGTTGGCCTAGGTATATGGTTCCAGCTCTGTTTTTTCTTTTACAGTGTCTCCACTACTTCTGGAACTCTCCTCCGCCTGCCAGAGACATGAGGATTCTGTTGGTCATTGCATACCTCCCCAGAGTCGGGTGAGAGGGATCCAGGAGTACTGTCCAGTGGTGGCTGAGATAGGGTCACCTTGGGAGCCAGGATGGGTGTTGAGGTTGCATCTGCGCAAAGGGTCAGACGTGACTGCTGCTGTTTACCTGGGCTCTGACCCAGTTGTGGGGTTTGGGCAGTGGTTCTCTGTCCTTCTGTGGAAGTGGAGCCAGAAACCATATCAAGGCCATTGCTGCTGCCTTTCATACAACAAAAGTACTGCTGTTATTCTCTTGGGATAGGAAAATGGGATTTCTGGGGAGGCTGATAAGGGAGGGCAGAGTTTCCTTTTCCTACATGCTGGGTTAACACTGCAAATAAAGTAGTTCTTTGCTTGTGCTATTTCCTGGATGTCTTTTGTTTAATGTGATGTATATTTGGGCACCTTGTTTGGGGGTAGAGTGCAAGCCAAACTTGGGCCTCAGCTTTGTCTCATTGTTCAGAGAAATAAGTTCATTAAGGTCAGTTCTCCCTGTAGGATGGTGAAGGTATGCCCGAATTTCTGTTAGGGCCTACACAAAACAAAGGCCTGGTATCATTCAGGTTTTGTGGGGGTTGTGGTAAGAGCGAAGTGTCTTGTGCCCATCTCTGTGCTGAGCCACATTGGCCTCTCCTCTACCCATGCCAACTGGACCATGTATACATATATATATGTACACACACACACACACACACACACACGTACACAGATACACCCAGTAGGGGGACCTGCCCAGAGCACTGAGATGAGAGGGGTTAACAGGGAAGGACAGTATGTAACTCTGGGCCAGGATTTCCCCAGAGACCCAGGTGTCTGGGATGTGTGCCCTACCCCCTCCAAATACTGGGCCTGGGGCCAGTTGCGTTTCTTGCCTATCACATGGTTTCCCAGCTTAGCTTGGCCAGGGGAGGAGCAAGGTCCAGAGTCAAATCTGTTCCAAGCCCTGGGTTGACTAGAAAGGAGCAGGCAGACAGACGGGTCTGATCCCTCTTGTGTCCTCCAGCCATGAGGCTCCTCTGGGGGCTGATCTGGGTGTCCAGCTTCTTCGCCTTGTCTCTGCAGAAGCCCAGGTCCTGGAGGAAGGACACTGTAGTGCTTGAGCGGGACGGGGCTGGTGATGGGAGCAAGCGCGGGGGACCTAATTGTGGAGTAAGGGGTGGAGGGGTCTGGGTATCACTGAATGCTGACCCCTTCCTTTCTCCCTAGGTTGCTCCTGTTTTCTCCTTCTGTGGTTCACCTGGGGGTTCCTCTATCAGTGGGGCTGCAGCTCCAGGATGCTCCCCAGGGACAGGTAGTGACAGGATCAGTGTTCCTGAGAAACCCAAATGACTTGAAAGCACTCTGCTCCCCACAGGTGGACTTCACCCTCAGCTCAGAAAAAGACTTCATGCTCCTTAATGTCCAGGTAACCGGACTCCTCTCCCTTCTGCTGCTTCTTAGCACCCCTCATCCTGTCACCCTGTTCCCCGATGTCTTCTTCTTTTAAAAAAATTATCTATTTTTGAGAGACAGAGAGAGAGAGAAAGAGAGCGCACAAGTGGGGGAAGAACAGAGAGAGAGAGAGGGAGAGAGAGAAAGAGGGAGGGAGGGAGGGAGACCCAGAATCCAAAGCAGGCTCCTGGCTCCGAGCTGTAAGCACAGAGCCTGACTTAGGACTCGAACCCTCAAGATCATGACCTGAACCAAAGTCAGACACTTAACCCACTGAGCCACCCGATGTCCCCGCCTCTGTGTTCTTATAAGTGTTTTTGCCTTCTCACTAGCCTTTCTCCCCTCCTTTTCTTCCTCCATCCCCATACTGTTGCCTTTCTTGTTTCTATCTTGGACTCTGGCTCTTTCCTTCTGCTCTGTCTCTGACCTGCTCCCTCTCCCTCTCCTGATAGATCTCCCCAAGAGGTGCAGAGAGCTGTGGCCTCCACCTCCTCCTCGGTGGCCCTGAGGTCCAGCTAGTGGCCAAGTCACCGTGGCTGAAGAATTCTCTGTCCAGAAAGACAGACATTCAGGGTGTCAACCTGCTCTTCTCCACTCGCTGGGGGCATCTTTTTCTGCAGACTGACCAGCCCATTTATAACCCTGGCCAGCGGGGTGAGTCTGGGCCCTAGAGCCTCTACCTTTGTCACCCAGGCTGCTCAAGACACGTTTGACACCCTGTAAGTGAGACAGCCTGAACATGCCACACTAGAAGGCTGCTTAGCATATATTTATTGTCCTTCCTCCTCGGTCCGTGGAAGGAGTGGGGGCTGGGCCCACCCTTTGCAAATGGATTCCTGCTCACCTTTTGCCCTCCTCTCCCAGTTCGGTACCGAATCTTTGCTCTGGATCAAAATATGCGCCCATCCACTGACACCCTTACAGTCACGGTAGAGGTGAGTCTCTGACCTCTGTCCTTCTGATCAGCAGGGCTGCTTGATCTGACCTCCCACTCATGACCACTTCTCCATTGCAGAACTCTCATGGCCTCCTCGTGCGGAAGAAGGAAGTATACGCTCCCTCCTCCATCTTCCAGGATGACTTTGTGATTCCCGATATCTCAGAGTGAGCTCCCCCGACCTGGAGATGGCCCTTTCCATCCCCATTTCCCTTGGCTATCCCCCTCCAGCACCTGGTCAGACCTCGAGTTCTCCCCCAACCCCTCAGTTCTGGTCTCCCCCCAACCCCCTGCAGTCAGTCCTCTTCCCGGGAGCCAGGCCTCTGGCTGTCCGTGGGCCTCTTGCACAAATGGGCTGAGTCCCTTTCCCATTTGTAGGCCAGGGACATGGAGGATCTCAGCCCGGTTCTCAGATGGCCGAGAGTCTAACAGCAGCACCCAGTTTGAGGTGAAGAAGTATGGTAAGATCTGGAGACATGAGGGAAAGGCATCTCCTTTCCTAAAGGAGATATGGATAGAAGGAGAGGTGGTGGGGGCAGGGCAGTATGGGTACCACAGCCCTGAAGGGAGAGAAGTCTTTGAAGGGTCCTTTTGCTAGAGTCTGACCTGCCACCCCTTTACCCTGGGTCAGTACTTCCCAACTTTGAAGTGAAGATTATTCCTGGAAAGCCCTACATACTGACAGCGCCTGGCTTTCTTGATGAAATCCAACTAGACGTCCAGGCCAGGTAACTCTCCATCCACCACGTGGGGCACCCAGGGCTCCTGGTGAAGCCCTGCCTCCCCCTCACCTCAGCGTGCCCCCCTCCCCCCAGGGACACTTATTTCCTAGACCTACCTTCTTGATCTCTCTTTGGTGGCAGGTACATCTATGGGAAGCCAGTGCAAGGGGTGGCATATGTGCGCTTCGGGCTCCTGGGTGAGGATGGTGATAAGACTTTCCTTCGGGGGCTGGAGAGTCAGATCAAGGTAGGAATGAGGGTGGGGGTGTGGCTAAGGTGAAGAGGGTGTGGGAGAGGTGAGGTGGGAGATAAATCTCACCCCATGCCATGTTTTCTTCTTTGCCCCAGCTGGTAGATGGCCAGTGCCATATTTCCCTCTCAAAGGCTGAAGTTCAGGGTGCCCTTGAGAAGCTTAATGTCACTGTTGCTGACCTCCCAGGGCTGCGCCTCTATGTTGCAGCTGCCATCATTGAGTCTCCAGGTGAGAGGTTTCCCTGATTATAATACCAGACCCTTGCCTCTGACCTCTGAGCTGGCCCTCTGTTCTTCAGCATCGTCACCATCCTCTGCTCTTCTTACCCTTGTTGTGTACCCAGAACCAGGAAAGACCTAAGAGATTGTCTCTCCCTAGCTGTGTTTATGGGTGGTTTCGGGAGAAGATGTCTTTTCCCCCATCTCAGTTTTTTTTTTCACCCATCCTTCCATTCATTCCTCCATCCTTTCATCCATCCCTCCATCCCTCCAGCAGACATATGGTAACACTCTCTATGTGCTTGGTCCTGTGTTGGCCTCTTCAACAGAGATGAATATAAGATGACCTGTGCCCTAAGAGGTTCACCGTTTGGTGGGTGGGAAACACTTGAGCTATGTTCCCCCTTGCTCTTCTACTTCTCTCTCCTTGGCTATGGCTATCTGTCTTCCACCTCTCTCTTGCAGGGGGAGAGATGGAGGAGGCAGAGCTCACATCTTGGCGTTTTGTGTCATCTCCCTTCTCCTTGGATCTTAGTAACACCAAGCGACACCTTGTGCCTGGGGGCCCCTTCCTGCTGCAGGTTTCATCTGGAGGGGGAGGATGAGTTGGGGGAAGGGTTGTTGCCAGGAGGGCACAGGGCCTCACTGGCCACTCTCCTTTACCTGTTCCCTCCCCCCCCGCCCCACTCACCTAGGCCCTGGTCCGAGACATATCTGGCTCCCCAGCTTCTGGTGTTCCTGTCAAAGTTTCTGCCACGTTGTCTTTTCCTGGATCTGCTTCTAGAATCCAGGACTATGAACGAAACACAGATGGGAGGGGCCAAATCATCATTCCCATTGCTACCTTTCCGACCATCTCAGAAGTGCAGCTCTTGGTAGGACTCCCACTCGTGGGACAGGGTATCGGAAGGAAATAAAGGCTGGCTGGCTTTCTAAGAATCCATGTCCCAAGCTGCGGGAAGGAGCTGGGTACCGGGGTTCCTGCCACTGACTCTTCGCTTGTCCCGCTCCTCTTTCCAGGTGTCTGCAGGCTCCCCTTATCCAGCCATAGGCAGGCTCACTGTGAGAGCCCCAGCCCCAGGCTCTCCATTCCTGTCCATTGTTCGGCCAGATCCTCGACCCCCTAATGTCGGCGACACTCTCAACCTGAACCTGCAAGCTATGGGCGTCAGTGGGGACAGCTTCTCTCATTACTACTACATGGTATGCATAGGCTGGGTTGTCGAGGAGGGCAGGGTGCAGGGAGGATCTTAGGCAGGGAAGAGCCCTTGGGGTGGAGGGAATGGTTTCAGGACTGGGGATATGCAGTGAAGAGGAAACAACTCTTCCTCAGATCCTATCCCGGGGCCGGATCATGTCTGTGAATCGAGAGCCCAGGAGGGAACTGACCTCGATCTCCGTGTTTGTGGGCCATCACTTGGTACCCTCCTTCTACCTCGTAGCCTTCTACTATCATGGGGGCATCCCAGTGGCCAACTCCCTTCGAGTGGAAGTCCAGCCAGGGGCCTGTGAGGGCAAGGTAACTGGCACTGGGAGAGGTGGTATGTCTGTGTGTTAGGTGGTTAAGAGAGAACGAAGACAAAGTGAATAAGCTCTCCCCACTCTGACTGCCCCCACCTCCTGCCTCTGCCAGCTGGAGCTGAATGTGGACAGCAGCAAGCCGTATCATCCTGGGGAGCCTGTGAAGCTCCACCTGCAAACAGATTCTCGAGCCCTGGTGGCACTGGGAGCTGTGGACATGGCTCTGTATGCTGTGGGTGGGAGGTCCCACAAACCCCTTGACATGGGCAAGGTTTGTCAAGA